GGTAAATTTTTGCGGCCAGAGCTGGTCGTAACCCGAAAAGTTCATTAACAGAGGCGTTCATAACCCGAGGCACCACTGTAATTTCAGGTATTCCTCCCCGCCTCCCTCTTGGTGGATCCTGTTTGTGATGGCTAACACTGAAGAGAAAGTAAGTACCAACCTTGACTTCTGGGTGGTCAGGAGCTACTCCAAAACGAACCAAGCCAAATGGAACTGGTAACTTCTCGTAAATATCCACCTGAGTCAGTTTGTGATGCTGGAGAAGACATTCCAAATCATTAATATATTTAAGGAAAAATTTTTAAAAAGAGTGTGTTGAACTGGGTCATTCAACAGCAATGAAACCCTCCTTTATTTCTAATCCTCCAAGCTCCAAACAATTGAAAAGGGAAGGTAGGACTGTCATTTTGTCACAGCTGCACATATCCACAAATGGACTGTAAGAGTATCTCTACATCATCTCTATACAGCAGATCCTCCACACTGATACAATCTTGGCATGCACAGGACCAATACCATCATTGAATTTGATGCCCTATAAAAGCAGAAACCAATAGTACCTGTGTTGGAAACCAATATATTGTTTACACTTAACACTTCCCTGAGGATTATGCTACTTTACCACAGCCAAGGATTATCTCAGGTCTAGCTTTTCTGCTGAAACCAGGAAATATTTCTTACATTAAAAGACAAATTGTCCCGGGCCTATAGTTTCTAGTTTTCTGGATCCACCCTTCAAAAAATGCCACATACTACCAACTATCAAGATTTGCCTTTGCCTTCCCTTCACCTGGCTCCCAATATATAGTTTAAAAAATACACAGAAAAGCTGTATAAACATTTTTCAGATAAATGAATACAAAGCTGCTTATGCACACATCTTATATTTTTTAAAGAGTCATCCAATGAATCTTTGGCAGCCAACTGCAAAGCAACAGAACCCTCAAGAAGATGCAGAGCAACAAAGGAGTAACTGCTGAGCTTCCTGCTAGTGGTAGCAAATGTGGGAGATCGCCCCAATCCTTAACCAAAATGTGGACCAAATATATACTTTATACAGGATCCAACAAGGTAAATGCACTTAAAGACAGAAACACACCCACCCTGTTGGACCTGGTGTACATAGTTGTTCAATGCATCTTAGTAGGGTAACTGAATTTACAATTACAAAATCGCCGTACTAAATAGGACTGGTGTGCAACAGTGATGTGAAGTGTGAATTACCAATTCCCTATTCAACTATTCCCCCATCTCTACTGATAATCCTATTACAAAAGCAAAGTGATATTCATCTAGTTTCGATGTTGTTGTAAATGTTCAGTATTACCTGCACATGTGTTCTCCCTACCTTCTCCCTTGTTCTATTAGGACAAATCAGAAGTTTCATGTGCATTTTAACTAACAATTATTTATTGTTATGAACCTGGTGGTGTAATTTACATTAACGATAGTTCAGGAAAACAAACCAAGGTGAGGAACCATGTTTTGAAGTTTACTTTCTCCCTCAGAAAATAGCTATATACCATTTATCCAGATTGTGGCACATGCAGTGGGTAGGAAATGGAAATGGAACTTTCTGATGGTGTCCTTCTGGAGGAGAGGGAAATGTACATTATTTTGCACTGTGGTAGATAATGTGCCTGTTCTCCATGCCTTCAGCAATCAGGAGTGTGTTAGCGTCAACATACTAAGCATTGCAGCTCTTAAAACTTGGGCAACCTTTCCCGATCTCAGAGGCTGAACAAGGTAAGTACTAAGGAGGAGAATTACCTGCAATCTCAGGGCTGTAAGCTAGATCGGGAAATAAAAATAAATAAACAAACAAACAAACAAACAAACTCCCTGGATGATGCCAATGAGAAACTAATCACTATCAAGAAAACTGAAGGACTCCAGTGGCCAGGTATCAAGGGCAACTTGAGGGCCCCTTTACTTTTAATTATGACTACATGCTCTCTACTAACTTGTCCTCTTACATAATTCAAGCATGCAGTAATGGAGACAATTGACCGTCATAAGCTATCACAGCCTTTAGATGACCTAGATGTTACACATCCGCCAAGTATCTCTCTTTCATATGATCAAGACGGGATTACTGTATGGAAGAATACAATACAAATGTTCCAATTCATAGAATTATTTCAGTATATATAGCTATTTATTACTAGTCCAAGTAGATTTTTTATTTATTTTATTCTTTTGGCCCATCTTGCATAAACAACTCTTCTGTGAGAATTATAGAATTTGCATTCTAAATCAAATATTCTAGCATTCAGCTCTATCTATACTTACATTACTTTTTCTCCGTGTCTTTGCATCTTGAGATATATCATATATTTAAGATTATTTACTTATTTAATCTTTAATCCGGGTGGTTCATAAATAGTAATGTAAAAACCAATACCAACCAAAAGCAAGAAGGGATCTGGGCACAATATACAAACAGAAAACAAAAATAAGAAATACACCCAAGGGGCCCCATCTGTCTCAGCCTGGGAGAACCACCAGATCTTCAAGGTTTACAGAACACCAACACAGTGGAAGCCACATGGATTTCAGGAGGGACCTCATTCTAGATGGCAGGGACCGCAACAGAGTAGGCACACTTCTGAGCTACCAATAGATGATGTTGAGAGCCAGTTTGGTGTAGTGGTTATGGCACCAGGCTACAAACCAGGAGACCATGAACTCTAGTCCTGACTGAGACACAAAGCCAGCTGGGTGACCTTGGGCCAGTCATGCTCTCTCAGTCCTAGGAAACAGGCCAGGGCAAACCACTTCTGAAAAACCTTGCCAAGAAAACTGCAGGGAGTAGTCCAGACAGTCACCAGAAATCAACAATGACCTGAAGATACAAAATGAATGAATGAATGAATGAATGAATGAATGAATGAATGAATGAATGAATGAATGAATGAATGACATTGTTTAATTGAACGGACCTGGTGTGCACCACCTCTCCTGGCACATACCATCCCAGCACAAACCATGGGAGAGAGGAGTCCTTCAAGTAACATGGCCCTATGCTTTGTAGGGCTTTATAGATCATCACCAGCACCTTGAATTGCACCTGGAAGCAGACTGGTAACCAGTGCAGCTCGTGAAGTAGAGATATTACATGGGCATAATATTTTTAAAGGATTCAATACTTGTCAATTTAACAAGATTTGGGGGGGTAAAACCTCCTGATTTGCTAATATTGATAAAATGGCAAGTGCAAAACAGAATCTCTGTATGAAACAGCTTTCAGGAAATCTGTGCCCAAACCTATCTGAGAAGTTGTGATATATACTTCAAATGAAACATGGTTGTTTTGTTCTGGGC